ACGTTGAATGCCGTTCTAGGATGGAAATGATTCATACTTCAAGTTCGTTCTAATGCAAGTCGCAATTTTGCCGTTCATTTTCACATTATTCGAATGTAAAAGTCGGGCCATATATTTAGTAAAATTTAAACCCCTTCGCGGGCCACTAAGAAACGGCGTGCGGGCCACAAGTTGCCCGCGGGCCGCCGGTTGCCGACCCCTGATGTAATCGATTGCGCTACCGCTTTCGTCCAGCTGCAGGCAAACCTAATCCGGAGAAGCACATAGTGCCCTTAGATATTAGATTAGAATTATTTTCCGCATCCGTTTTAGTGATGAGACATGATATAGTGGAATGTTAGAACCTGTGGGAACCCGAAACATTTGTACATGGTGCTCAGGAATTCATGCCAAGGTTCATAGTTTTGATAACGCGAAACCTTAATTTTTTTGAATGGGAACTCCTGTTTGATGATTTTGTTCAGATTTCAGTTAAAGATTTGGCTAGATCTTTGTGTGATTTGTGTTTTTGAGTCATGAATTTTTTCTGGGACTCTTTATATTTCGTGCTTGTTTGGTCGAAGCTTTCAGTGTAACAAAATTAGATGCTTGTTCTGTCCTTTGATTTCATTCCATAGACGAATGGCGGAGGGATAACTTTGTTTGTTTCATTTATTATTCACCTGGATTTCGTTGTGATTTTTGTTTGATATGCTCATTCAGAAAATCGCAGGCGGGTTCCACAGCAATATAGCAATTCATGGCTGTGTTTTCGCACATTCCTTTAAATTGTCTCTGAATTCCTAAAATAATAGCAATCTATCACTATGTGTATCATTATACTGATAACTATAGGTCAAACCCTCGCGATAATGTCAGTTCAATGTTCTCCATGTACCGCAACGATGTGCTCGAAGAACATGAAACTGTTTAATCTACTTATAATTTTGATAACACTCAAGGTATGTATTTGTAAATCTAGCAAGAAGTTAACAATGCCTGTTATCAGCACAGTACTTAGGATATTCCACCTGTCCAGATTCTGATAAAACACATAAGTGGAATAACTTACGCGCTAGATGTAGATCTTTCAAGTACAGTATCGAACATAAAGACAAAGATAGAAGCTCAACACAATGTACCGGTTGATTTACAACGCTTGGTCTTCAACGGAAGAGTACTAGAAGATGATCGAAGCTTGCAAGATTATAGCATAGGAAATGGTGCAACCGTAGCTCTAATCGTGCGGCTGAAAGGCGGAATGGAGCTATTCATTCAACCGTTAAATCGAAGACGTTTTAGTATAATCGAAGATGTGAAGCATAAGATTTTAGAAATATACGGGCATCATATACCGAGTGAACAGCGTTTAATTTACGCAGGAAAGGAACTGGATAACTCAAAAACCGTACAGTTTTATAATCTTCCAAGAGGAAGTATTATACATTACGTTCTATCCATTCGAGGGGGAGTTTAAATATATATTTTTGTGGTAATAAAGGGAAGAATTGCAAGAGATTATATTTTTCTAACTTCGTACCATTTCAACTGATAATTATATGCGCTATTTTTTTTATTTAAATTGTTACTGTTTACTGACCATGGATGGGTAAAAATGGTAAAGAATAAGTATTGTTTAATTGGCAATTGAGGGAAAGTGATAAGCGTAAAGCCACACATAAACTAATTAATGCAAGGGTAAAGACAGTGGGAACAGTAATATATAAGTGAATTCATAGTAGAATTTTTCAAGTCTTATTTCAAAAACAATACAATTTAACGACATGGGGCTAAGGATGCATGTGATCCTTTCGAGTGTACTTGTGATGGTTGTCATTACTCAGGTATTTTTTCATTTATATTATTATTATAATTCTTGATAGAACAATGAAGTCCTCTAGCATATTGCTATCTACAAGTAGTAGTAGATCCATCACATTAATGCAGATGTTTTTTTTTATATGTCTACTGAAGTAATTTTTCAATATTTTTAGAAATGCAATGCCATGATGATTACTATTACATGCGCAAATGATGATCAGGACAGCTTCGCCTTAGATGTTGACTCTCGTGATACAGTGAAAACTCTAAGACGCACTGTCGCAGATCGCATTGGAGCATCTCCAAATGACGTACTTTTGATTTACAATAATCGCGAACTTCAAGACAGGCGCTCCTTAGGTTACTACCATATTCGCAATGGATCTGTGGTTCAAGCTAAGAAATTATCGCCTAGGACTCTGTTTTGATTATTTATTTAAACAGATTGTGTTCTTTTCTTAAGAATATTTCCTTACATAGACAACAATAATAACAGATTGCGTACTTATTACTTCGACAAAAGTATAACTTGGTCCAAATTACAATCTACTGCTATTCCATGGTAAAAAATTCGTCCTTTGTCTTTGACGTCCAAAATATGTATATTAAATACGTTTCCATTTCCATCCTCAAAATAATTAAATACGTTGTGGCATCCGTACAACGTTGCAACATTTAAGTCGGATGTAACACCTTATGTAGGTGAAAGAAAATGGCAAATAAGAGTAGCGTACCGATATAACTTGCAAATGACCATTTCTGATTTTATCTGGAAACTTTTGTGTATAGATTTAAGTGCTAATTGGAAATCACCTTTAACACGCCATAAACTAATATTTACCTACAACTGACTAAAAACGTAACAACGTCAAATTTGGTTTTATACCAATCAGAAGCAACTTCTTGAACTAAATAATTGACTTTAAAACAAAATTGTTGAATTTCGGGAATCGCTCCTAGGCCACCAAGTAAAAAAAAAAACCTAAAAGTGGATGCTTGTTTTGCAAACGGTACAAATATTATTAGAAAGGTCAGAGTTCAATTGAATCTCTGTGAATCAACCTTTAGCACAAATAGGCGGAGGTCAGTTGTGCACAACAACCAGAATATTCAAAAGCGAAATTTGATTCTTCTTCCTTTGTATTTTCTGCTTCTGTTTTTCCTGTTTTTCTCTAGGTTTAAATTTTTAAGTGGTCCCTTTGTCATACACTGGTTGATAACGCGACTTCATCTTCATGTTTGCAGTCGGTAATAGGCGAATATTAAAACAACTGTAACTTCTCTTTGCCTAGGACTTCCTTAAATTATATGTAAGTAAAGTATACGACAATAAATGCATTAAAATCGGTTCTTTAGGAGTAAAACTTACAAAAACCAAAAAATGGTAAGAAAATGACATATTTTCAAGTGCTGTGTCGCTCGCACAGGTCTTTCAATGTCGAAAACTTGGATTTTTCACATCCATATTGATCCTAACAATTTAAAAGAAAAATTAGAGATGACATATCTGATGCACGGAATGCCCATTTTTTGGTCTAATTTGACTGTACTATTCATAGAGGTAAGCAGTAGAATCCAATCAGACATCCCCTCCACTTTTTTCTGACGTCACATATACGGCGCTGTGATTAGCTGTGCCAGTTTGTGGCGGTAAATTTGAGTTTGTGCGAGAGATTTGAATTTCCTGATGTCTGACATTTTGCGTCGATTTTGTTTCCGAGGCCAATAGGGCCCTAATTAGCCGATAATTTTGAAATCGTGCTGTATTGTGGTTCCAAGCTTTTCTGGTAAAAAGTCGATGGCCATTGGCCGACACAGGAGCAGAGTTTCGAGAAATCGAACTCGACCATGACTCGTTAAGCCTTCAAGGTGATAAAGGAAATTTTATCGACACGAGTACTCAGGGTAGTGGGAGTCTGAGGGCCTAGCCACCCCTGCCCACTTAATTTGGTGTCGGACTCTGAGGGGTTGTGAAATTAGCTTGAAAGTGGGAAAAAGAAAGTAGAAATTTGCATGTTATTTTTCTGGTATTTTTTATGGTTCTTTGATCCAGCACTTAGTAGGCCTCGAACTTTGAGGGGTTGTAAAGCTTGAAAGTGGGTAGAAAAACGTAACTTGTGCATTTTATTTTCCTGGAATTCGTTGAATCAGTACGTCTATATACACTACCTAACTAACTAACTCCTATATATAGTGACTCTCCCCTTGGGATACACCTTGTCGGGGTGGTGGGGCTCAGTAGCCACTATTTTCCGTGGTGAAGCTAAGTCTCCTAGCCGGTTAACTGCTAGACTCTATGGCGTTTACCCCTAAAGTTTGGTGCGTAAGCTACCCATTTCCCAGAAATCTGGTTGAGCAGATGACGATATCATTCAAATGATTCATGGAGAAATATTAACGAAAGTATACTCAACGGCTACTCATCAAACCTGATAAAAGGAGTTTTATCAACATGAGAAGCAGAAGTTCTTCCGTACGTTGGAGTTCTGAGGCGTACGAGGTCGACATTTGGTTCTGATTCCAAGCTTTTCTGGTAAAAGGTCGATTGCCATTTGTCGATACAGTAGTAGAGTTTCGATAAATCGGACTCGACCTTGACTCGTTAAAGGTGATAAACGCAAATTTATCGACACGAGTACCTAGCGTAGTGGGAGCCCCAGAACCTAACCACACTTGTCCATTTAATTTGGTGTCGGAATTTTCATAGTTTATAATCAGCACGTGAAAGCTTGATGGGTGCATACTGCAACTATGAAAATTACTACTACTGTTTAGTAGTGACATTTTTGGAAAACTTTTTTCTGACCAATAAAGCGAACGTATACAAGCGCCTATACTTTTTCGCTTGTAACAGGGTAGCAAAGTGACAAGGCAATAGCAAGCGCAACGAAAGGGAGACGAAGATGGGTTGTAAACAATGGAGTTTCTTCTTTCCGAAAGCAGTAGGGGTACAATGGAAACAAATTTCGGTTCAATTCTAAACCAAGCAGATACATTGTGCATTTTCAAGTCGCCAATTTAACGGTACCAAACGCGCCAATTTTTAACGAAGACAATTTCGCACATTTTTTATGTATTTTGAGGAAAAGCTTGAACGATACCTGCAATTCTTATTTCGAGAGCTTCTGCATAAAAATGCGCTTGAATCTAGCGAAGGAGGCGTTTACACATTTGGATGACGTATCTAATAAATAAAAGTACTTCGGCAATAGTTTACTGAACTTGCTACATATTCTAAATAAGAATTATTTACATACGTACACAAATCTGAATGTCAGAATCATAGGATATATACACTAAAAATAAGATACATAATTACTAATTATCTTAGCGTATTATAGATGGCCTCATCCGAATCCGATTGAATGACACTATCGCCGTTCGACCCTAATTTAACGTAACAATAATCGGAATTAGCCTTTTTAGTTCGTTTACAATCACATTTTGGCATACTATCACAATTGCAGGAATCCTCACAAATTTCCGCGTAAATATTTTCATCTTGTTTACCATTTGTCCGTTCACGTACTTCGTCCATCACGTGACTGTATGGTATATCATCGACAATGACGGATGTTCCCTTTTTGCTTTTTGGTAACGATTCCTCGTGCACTTGCACTACGACTGATTGGGTGTTAAGGTTCTTTTTACTCTCGAAAACTGAGAAGTGGCGGCTTTTAATTGACTCAATGATGCGCACGCTGCTACGTAAGTGCTCCGAGTTTGTTAGTAAATTCTGCTTACTGCCGGTCCTCTTTTGCATTTTCGTTTTCACGTGGAATTCTGAGCAAAGTCGATCGGTGATGTAAGAAGACGTGCCATCGCTCTTCGGTAAGGTAGGAATTAAGTCGGGCTTCGTCTTTCGGAGCTTGGCTATATCTTCAGCCGGTTTGATTTCGTCGAAATTGATCTTGGTAATATGAAGACTGGTCGTTAAATCTTTCAGCGAGTGCCCTTGCCTAACGCTGTTTTTTCCATGGTTTACAACTCCGCCTTCGTTTTCGAGAATGCACATTTCGAAATCCACGCTCAGAGATTCGGACGCATTCGAGATTTTTCGATGAAGTTTCTCCTTGAGCAATTTCAGTTGATGGTCGTCTTCGTTTGCATAAATCTGAGTATCCAAACTTTGACATTTTAGTAATGCTGGATTGCCTTTTTTATCGGTGGGGGTTTCCTGTAGATCCATCCTTTTGTTGGAGTACATGAAGCTCGCCGACTTTTTAACCGGGTTGTAACTCTTCTTTCCGAATTTGTCTTCGATTAATTTCGACATGTCTTTATATCGCTCCATGCTTTTTCCTTTTTCTATACCGTCCATCGGATCTTTCATATCTTCAAACTTGCTGTTGGATTCACTACCGAGACCCAAAATCTTAAAGTGTCGGTACCATTTTTTCGGTTTAGGAAATTTATCAATGACCTGTTTTGTTATTAACTGTTTTACGTTTTGTTCTTCATATTTGGCCCGACACGTATCAGTGCATGGTCTGTTCAGTTTTCGACATTCAACACAGGTAATTTGAGGCGTTTGATGCGATGCCTCTAAGTGTATGTTTGGAATTAGTCGCACTTCTCTGTACCAACTGTCCACGTTTTTATGACAGAACGCAAGTGTCGATTGTACACGCTGGGATTTAAATAGCCGACTTTCGGAATCAAATCCCAGGGTGCATTTCGAAATTTTGACCCGGGAGTTCAAATTGATGCAGCTAATTTCGTGCTTGATATCCTCTGATGGCGGAGGCAACGTGCAGGTCACCATTAAAGGCTCTTGAATCTTTTTCTCCAACACAAAGGAATCTGAAAAATAGTTTTCTATAAATCATAGGTTTATGGTTATATAATTTATGGCGTGTGGGATACGGTCGAAGGTGCGACTACATAACGACACCGTCAAGGGACTGTAAAAATTACAACAAAATGCAAGGCTTGCATAATTTACAAATAAGGTATTGAACTATTGTTTCTTTTTCATATTCAATTATAAAGAGATTCGCCACACGCGAACAACTTTCATCTTCTTTTTGAGTGTGGGTGGGTTTAGCCCCACCGTAAAAATTACGGCATGCTTTTCGCAGAAGCTTAAAAACAGTGTACATGGTAAAGGTGTAGTAACTTACAAAATTTATACGCTTGGCCCTGTAATGACATGTTAAATCGAAACTAAAAACATGTAGCATTTTCTTTGAACGCAGCATGTGTTACTCAGATGACAGTAATTTAAATATTAACTGCTATCTCAAAACCACACGGTCGGTCGTACAACTATGTTCGTTTAAAGAAAGTGTCAATATTAAAAAAAAACCACTTCTAGAATATTCGGCAGTTGTCCGATTACAAAATTCGCTTTAGTTTCAGGGAGTGATCAAAGAAATTCCTTTAAAGCATGTTACCTAATGAACGATAACAAGATTCGATTTCTTACCTGTAAATTCTTTGGGTACACCTGGCGGCAAGGATCCACTTAAGAGTTTCACTTTTACGGGCAGTGCGATTCTTCTTAATAAATGTGTTAATTTATACAGGCAATCCTTATCTAATGCTAATGGACCCGTCTTGTCTATAAGACCAGGAAAGCACAATCGAGCCTTCATGGTACTGTAAATCTCGTAAAATTCGCCTTTGGTTGTTAAAGGAACGTATAACTCCTGAAAGTAAAACAGACAATTAGTAATTAATCATACTATGAGTATAATTTTTGGACAGTTTGTAGTTTGTGAAGAGCACTTCGCGGTATTTACCTTCATGTTTAAAATGCAATTTGGGTGGTCCATTCGCACATTTGTATAAGGAATTAGCTCATTCGGTTGACTGCAGTAGTTTCAAGAAGTTATGGTACAAGGAAATGATGTGCATTAGCTTTAATTGTAAATGTGGTTTCGTATCAGGTGTGTAGTAACGTTAATTGGTTATTAGCGATTATCATACTCTTGGGCGATTACGTCTTACAAAATTTACCCCTTCCCTGCAGCTTTATTAGCGCATTTCAAAAATTTAAAAAAAAATGCGCTATTGTGGCCACTTTGTCCGTCCGTCCGTCCTTTATATTTTTATCCCGTTAAGCGTCGTCATTTTATATCGCCATGTGTCTTTTGTAACATTTCAATTTTACAAAAATTCCAAACCAGCAAAAACTGCACTTGGTATAAATGGTGATAATCCATTGAGGAAATGAAATTATTTGATTTACCACAAAACTTTACGACCCCCATAATTGGAGATTGTTATGTATGTATGCAAGAACGATTTTCTTGTAAATTACGAAAAAAATTATCAAAGTCCTCGTGTGAGATCCAGGGACTTCAGCGCATTTTTGTGTGGCAGATCAGTATTCTATTAGCCACTTTTGACTCAACCATGAATAAAAGATCTTGTCGAAGGATACCACATTCCCTTTGACGGTACCCAGTTTCGACGTCCCGTTCACCCGCAATTCGCGTTTGAAGATTTATCTCCATCATCAGTTAGATCTTGTCGGAGGCTACCACATTTCCTTTTTCGGTGCATACTTATACCACATTTTGGTGGATCTCGCTAAAAACCTTCCACAAGATAGTACTTAATTTTTGGGGAGCACTTCTCATTGCTCGAGTTTCTATTGACGACACGAGAAAGAGAGACAGCCATTCGAGATTTACGAAACGTTAAAACGCGTGACAGAATTCGCAACGGAAGGTAAAAGGTGCCCGAAGTTAACTACCTCTCGAAGACGCGCGCGCGCCTTGCAAAAGGTCGTTAATTTTGCCCCTAGGCCAAAAAGCAAAATTCCGCCACGCAGGAGTTGTGCGCGTTTACAACATCTTTCCGACGACACCAATTTGAAAAGAATCGGACAAAAACTGTAGTAGGAGATAGGAAAAAACTGAAAAACCTTCACGTTAGTATACTACGCTCGAGAACGACGCCCAGATGTCGCCAACCCCACATCATGTAGCCATGTCCCCAAGGTTTACAAATTACATGGCCTTGTAGATACATGTACACCCGTTGCCTTTCTACAAGAGTTCTACGCGCCCACATTTGCTGCCAGCCAGCCGACCAGCCAGCCAGCCAGCCAGCCGGCCAAGACATATTTTCCTAGGACATTGACGGAATTTTACTAGAAACCTTTCAGTAATAATGTATAATGTCTTAGAAAGATGTTTTTGATCTGTCTAGCAATTTGAAATTTTTCTTAGGAATACAGAAATCTTTATAAGAACATTCTTTAGGTCGAAAAGGAGTTGAGAAATTTCATAAACATCTCTTTGGAAACCTTATAAGTTCTTGTTGCAAATTTGGGAATTTTTTAGCGCATTTTTGCAAAATTTTTAGCGCATTTTTGCAAAAATTTTTTTTGTAAAAAGTAGCTTTTAATCTCACTTTGGCTGGCTGGCTGGCTGGCTGGCTGGCTGGCAGTAAATGCGCGCCCGTAGAAAAACCCTTGTAAAAAGACAAGGAGTGTACATATAACTATCGGGGCCGTGTAATTAAGAACGTTAGGGATGGGGCTACCAGATTTGGAGTCGACGACATCTGGACGCCATCCCCGAGCGTATTATACTAACCTGGAGATTTTTCAGTTTTTATCTATCTTCTTCTACAGTTTTTCTCCGATTGTTTTCAAATTGGTGTCGTCGGGAAGATCTTGTCAACGCGCACAACTCCTGCGTGGCGGAATTTAGTTTTTTTTTCCTAGGGGCCAAATAAACCACCTTTTGCGCGGCGCGCTTCGAGGGGTAGTCGACTTTGGGCGCCCAAAAGTTTCTTACAGCGCGAATCGCGGTCTCTCTTTCTCGTGTCACTAATAGAAGGTCGAGCTATGTGAAGTACCCAAAAGTTGAATACGATTTTATGCCGGCATTTTAGCGAAATCTACAAAAAGGTGAATTACGAATGAACGGGACGTCGGAACTGTGTATCGACAAAGGGAATGTGGTAACCCCCGACGAGATCTTACTGATGGTGGAGTCGAAACTTCAAATCCGAATTGTTGCGGGTGATCAGAAGTGGGTGTCGACAAAGGGAATATGGTAACCCCCAAAGGATTTTACTGATGGTGGAGTCAAAACTTCAAACGCGAATTGCGAGTGCACGGTAAGTGAGAAAATGGTACCGACAAAGTGAACGTGGTAGCTTTCGGCAAGATCTTATTGATGGTGGAGTCAATATTGGCTAATAAAACACTGATCTGCCACACAAAAATGCGCTGAAGTCCCTTCGATCTCACACGAGGACTTTGATCATTTTTTTGTAACATTTGTATGAACATTTTCCGAAACCTTCTTAGGAATCGTCAGTCTTTCTAGGGATATAATACGTCTGATATATCCAGTTTCCTAGAAGACATCTTGACACTTCTGGGAATTTTTTTTAGTAGTTTTAGGAAACCGCCTTACAAATCATACCTAGTTTTTGTAAGGAATTTACTAGGAGCTGTCTGCATTACGATTCTACTTAAGGCTCTCAATAAATCTTTTTCGAAATCGTCTCGGTACCACAATAAATCTTAGGAATTTTTGGAAAGTCTTCATGGGGGTACCTTTTTGAAATGTACCTAAGCAATACTTCCGGTCCTTATTGGAAAACTTGGCTGTATATCTTCAATTCATGACTCATACTGCATCAATTTATGAGAGGGCGATTATTTATTTTTGTAATAATTAAATTCATTTCAGTCTTGGGTAACAGCTCCTTTGAAGTATGAATTTTCTTTATGTTGCAGTGGTTAAACCTGTGTGGGAACGGGGAATGAATATTGCGGTAAGAGTTTGTTCATAAAAAGCTTTACCGATTGTTTATATTTATTGAGTTTGACTTTGAAATAAATAACATTTGGCGGGTTACCAACTTTCAAAATTGTTTGTTTTGCGGGAAATTCAAACTGACCGCAATACTGTTAGATCCCATGGTTTACCTTCCCATATTAAGCACCAAACAAGGAAAATCATGAATTCATTATGATTATTATTAATTTCTCATTGGTTTTGAAATCTGCCGCCGCCCTCCAAAGGTGTAGCGATAAATTTTCTCTAGGACTACGGTTTTTTGTGGGGAATTCTTTTTGCTCTGCTGACCTATTGCCTTATTTTCTTGTACTTGCATCAATTTGAATTTTTACATCTTTGGAAAATAAGTCGCTTATGGTACACTTTCCCTTATACAGGAGTAATTATTATTTTATTTGTCTGTATTGTTCCTGGTTGTTATCCACCACCTACATAAAGCGACATATACCTACATGTCTTTGAATATAAATTATTTTATATTGAAAGGGATCGGTTGCTTATATAATATGGAATCACACCGTTCAGTTAAGTTTTCAATTACGAAATTAGAAAAGTTGTTGATTGTGTCGCAAATTCATTTAGCGATCGTGCAGGAAATTTGTGCCCCGTCGCGATTTATTACATCCGTTATAAATCAATAGCCCTACAAATATTAAACAAATTACAATTTAAACGGTACCATTTCGGCTTAACATGCGAGAAGATGTAGAACATCGTTAGATTTAGTTCCACTAAACTATATACAGTCGCACTCTACTAATTTCGCAATTTGCTAATGGCAAGACGTTTGAATTAACGGACGACATCGGCAATAAGGAGGCATTAAAAGTCTTAACCGTACCTGATTATTCTGACTGGTAAGCTGCGCATAACGGTTAGCGAGATCCTTATCTCTTGTCGAACGTGAAATTCTAGAAGATCGCGTCGAATGTTTTCCTCCTTCCGAACGGTCCTGGTGCTGAAAAACGGCTCGTAACTGGAACACCTGCCCTCCGCGAATTTGAGTTTTCAAATACTGAGATCTCGCATTCATACCGTCTAGAAAAAGGAATAGCAGAATTATTCGAGCGAAATACGCTAAAAGCACTTGAAAGCCTAACTAATCTAATTCCATTAGTTTGGTTCCATTTGTTGAGTTTCATATCTATTGAATAATAAACTCACCTGAAGAGTCTTGATTGCCCGCAGTGTAGGCAGTGAAAGATTGAATGCTAATAAAACTACAAACTTGTTCTCTAACAAGCTGCAACACCGAAGAATGGGCCACTGCAGCTTTTTCTCCTTTTTCATTTGTTAAGGAGAACCAACCTGCAACACATGGAGAAAGAAGTTATGAAATCATACGATAACAAATGATGTTAATGCTGCAATAGATTTCTTGGTTATGATAAAACGCTCGTAATTAAGCAATTCGTTTTCCACATTCTCGATAAACGTTTGATCATAAATTTTCATCGGAATGCAGTCGAAAAGTTGTTAAGTGATTTGATGAAGTCTTAAATTGTTGCCATTATTTGAGTTTTTTCATGTATCTAGTACTCTAGAATATCGGAAAAATTCCACTATTACCACGAAATAAGACTACAGTGACACTTAAGCGATTAGTATACTACTGGTTTCGTTGTGTTGTGCGTCCGCCCGTCTTTCCGCATGATAAGTCGAGACCGAAAGAGAATTTTCAATTCATTTTACTGAAGATTATTTTCTCACAAATGCATCACCACTCCTCATTCGTTATCTTTGAAGCAGAATCCATCAAGTAATTTTCTATGTGAAGGCAGTAACGACGGCTCTCTTTTATATGGGTGGGTGATGACACAAAGAGCTCATTTTAAGGGAAATAACAGGTATAACATTATTGGTACATACATTTTAATTGCGTTGTTAACTGTGGTTTTTGGACTGAACGTCGCACGAAGGGGCCTAATTTTCTTCGCTTTAGTCTCAATAAGACACTAATGGAAACTAGTATAGAGGTGGTCACTCGAGACAGACGAAAGCGCATTTTCCCCGCACAGAATCAGTAATAACAACGAAAACAACGAAAAAGCTTAAGCTGGAGGACTAGTAGTGGTACAGATGGATCGACAGACGGACAATAGCGTTCATACAATAGTTTTCTGTTGAGATAAAACTGCGCGATTTTTTTTATGTAACCAAATCAACCCTTGGAAATTGAATATGGGAATCTAATATCATAATGGGACAATGTGATATCTCAACGAGTTTTCATTACATTCATGGGAGCTTGTTGTCTAGATTTTTCTCCAAACGCTTATTATGTGAAGCTATATTGTTGTGCACGCGGAGTTCGTTCCCCCGGGCCAAACTGTTAACCAGAAGTTCTACTTGGAAGTTTTGAAAAAGTTGAGGGAGAGTACCCGGAAGAAAAGGGCAGATCTTTGGGACACACGCGATTGGTTCTTCCATAATGACAACGCGCCGGCCCACACCGTAAGGCAGTTTTTGACCAAAAACGGCATGACACCAATTGTCCACCCTCCCTACTCACCGGATCTAGCCTCCTGTGATTTTTTTTGTTCCCCAGACTAAAAGGCACTTGAGAGGAAAGCGTTTTACCACTGTGGAGGAGGTAAAACAAAAATGGCTAGAAAGCCTAAAAAAACATCCCGATAAGTGAATTGAAAAAACGCATTGAACATGATAGTGTTGTAGAATTTCCTTAATTTATTTATCGTGGCGTATTTACTACACTATTCTATATGTATACTGGTTACAATACACCAAATACCGAATCACTCAATAAAGTTATGTTTTCTAAAAACAATAAAAATCATCTAAGTTTTTAATTGTTTCTTCATAAAAAAGAAAAACTTTTCAGTTTAAGTGGATGTGCCATAATAACAATGAATCAAATGTACCCCCGCACCCGATTGCTTCCGCGCTTGCTGACGCGGAATCAAAACCGTATTCGCGCGTGGAAATCCAAGGAGGCAGGGCCGGTGAAAGGCTATTTGGCGCCCTAGGCGAGATGTTCTCAGCGCGCCCTTCCTCAGGTTATTCCTAGGTACAGTGCCGTAACTAGGCATTTTTCGAAGCGGTGCCGGATCAGGTTTTGGCGCCTTATCACTTACCATTGAGCTCTAATTGATAAAACACCGTACATTTTTGAGAGAAACTTTACACGAAATTTTAAAAGCACTGCGCTACTTAAATTTTAGAAGAATGCTTTGAATAATGAAGTCTTTCACTCAATGAAGAATAGAAATACATTTATTTATATTGTTTCCAATTCTCGCGTCAAATTTAGCTATGACATAGGGTACAAGTCGTAGAAATGATTGCGTCTTAGAATAAGGGTGCAAATGCTGGTCACACTAATACAGCGACTATTATATAGATCACAAATAAAGTATTAGGTATTACTATTAGTTTAAATTTGCAGCCTTTTCCTACCGCTGTAACTTTGTTCTACAAGGGCCATTCAGAAAGTAGCAGACGGTTTGGAATAAAAAGTTAAGAAAGTGTAAGAAACAACTTTTATTATACTTATACATTTGGAAGCTACACTCTTAGGCTATTTTTCAACATAGTCGCCACTCATATTGAGGCGCTTATCATAGTGTGGTACAAGTGTTTTGATTCAAACTTTGTATACCTCCGCCGTCTGTGGGAGCGTCAGAAGTGGGTACCGACAAAGGGAATGTGGTAGCCCCCTGACAAGATCTTATTGATTGTGGAGTCAAAACTGGCTAATAAAAGTACTGATCTGCCACACAAAAATGCGCTGAAATCCCTTGGATGTTCCGTGCATTCTAAAGGACCGTAAATTTAGATTTAATTATATTTCACTGCACCCTGTATTCGTCGTTAGCAAATTATTAGAATTTAACTGCCGTTCTTGTCTTTTATGACTGGCCTATACTGTACACCGCGATGCCCATTCCGACTTAGTGCCCTCGGTGCTTCAGCGCCTCCGGCGCGCCCTCCCCATGCAGAGCGCGCTGCCGCGGCACCTTTGGCACCTACCTAGTTACGCCACTGCCTAGGTACCAGGCCCAGGCAAAAAATAGAAAGTGGCGTTCATAAATACTTTATTGTGTTTTCGCTGAAAGATGTTGCTTAATTTTGGCGCCCTCTGAAGCTTGGCACCCCAGGCAGCCGCCTATGTTCGCCTTGTGGTTTAACCGGCCCTGCAAGGAGGGTTTGAGTCTGTTGAGAAAAGATCGAATGGACTATTATGGACGCAACCTGCGAAGAAGGCGAAGACTGTTGTATTGGCCGGGAATTGTTTTTTTCCACAAATAACGAGGTGTCAAAGCGCGCGATTATAAGCACTTCCAGACGAAGATCTCGGAGTTGGACAAAGGCTGGGCTGTAGTGCGTCGAGTTTCGGGGGGACTACGTCAAAAAGTAGATGATATTATGACCATGTATTAATGTTATTTATTGCAAAACAAGGAACTTATCAAGAGTCTTAGATGTAAAACTTGGTAACTTAGAACTGAAATTATTCGGCAGGGTATTTTACGATTTCTAATTCAACCGCAATTAGTTATTTGCTATTTTTATCTCATTTTCCATAAATAAAAAATGCCCTATTATGGTTTCAACGTACTCATTACTTTAAAGATTCAACCTTGAAAAACAACCTCGATTTTAGTAGGCCAATTATATTAGACACAAAAAAATAGCCCCACTGGCCACTTGCAATAAATGCGGTAATTTGGTAATATATTGAGAGAGTCCATCTACGTCAAACATTCCAGATTTGCAACTGTGAATCGACAGCCAAAAAGCAGTGAAATTTTGCATTATTTTTGGCGTTTCAAGGAGGAAAGACTTTAACCTGTTTTATTCACACTTGAACTTTAACAGAGGCAGACGTCACTTCTATCCGAGCTTCTATCTAAACCATCTGTCGCTATTAAAGCTAGGCTTAATATCGTCTGCCATAATGTATTTGAAATAGTGACAAAAAGAGGAATTTTTTTTCATGTATGACTTTTATATGGTCCTCATTGTATAGTTCAGGGAGTGTTTTTTTCCCTACATCATAGGGCCTCTGTCCCTCCGTGGCTCTTATGGTTTAGTTGATCTTCAAAATAGTGACTTTTTTAACGCCGGCCGTTATAATACTGCCACTTACAACTAGCAGGCGGGTGATTTTGTTACTAGTTTTGAACGAACTTTCACTCTGTATTGTCCAATATTTTGTCGCTTAGGGTTTAGGATGTACGCTACTTTCCGATCTATTCATAAAGCGCATCTTAAGACCAAATTGTAACCCAAGGTCCCGCATCTGCCAAACCCGTGTAAGTATTTCATCACTCAAAATGTAATTAGAGAAATTAACCTCAGTTTTTCAAGTAAACGCCAAAACTAGGCACTCGGATACAATTTGGTATATGACATAAAAATAAGGAGTAATAGTAATATTAAAAAATAATAACATTAATAGTTTTTCGTCCCATTTTGACCATAATACCTAGCTAGATGAACAAACCATAAGTACAATGGAATCTGTCGGAATAAATAAAAAGACATTTGTGCATTGAAAAACCCATTTTAAAAAAATGCCGTTTAAAACAAATTTGGCAACCTCCTCCAAATTAGAAATAAACTACAACTGCAATTTTAGGTCAAATAACAATTCCGATACTTTGGATAAAAGTCACAATAATTTTTCTAAAAAAGAATTTTAGGTCTTTTAGACTCGGCGTGCAATGATGATTTCATATTTAACTCACAGATTGGCGTAAGTACGTCTTGTAGCAGTTTAATTATATTCAATGTGATGTCCGTATTAGATAGAATAATTTGTTCACTTTCCTTTGTAAGGAATTAAAGGTCGCAATAAAAGTAGGTACGTAAAAAGTGTCGCTTTTTGTGGCATTCAATTCTCTCATTAATTAATTAATGCGCAAAGATGATGCATCGCAAATGTTTCAATTAGCTCTACTGTTGCACGGTGCGCCCACTTCTAGCAAAATACGCGGTTTTTTTATTGGTGTAAGCTAAATAAATAATAAATTAAACAAATAAAGCAAACGAGCTTTTGGGTATGGGTACAGCTTGACATTACAGATGGACAGACGGACAGATAGTAGGTAGATAGAGATTTCTAACTTACAGTGTTAAAAATATTAATTACCTATCATATATTTAGACTGTCTCCACAAATTGATAATTCTGTCACACCGTAAACACAATATTCTTTCAAGTTTGTTAGACTTTGCTTTAAAATGACTAATTTTTGGAGAATACTTGATTTCATTAGGTAGAGAATTACGAATATTCCGGCCATTGAAATCTAGTGTTGTTCGGACATATGCCTGAAACAAGTA